GTGAGTCTGTATTATGTATTTGGGGAGTTCAAAACCCAATTGAGTCGAATGTATGAAAGATGATATGTCTTGAGCTCTGTAATGTTTTGAACAACCAATAAAAAAATAAATAAAAAAAAATGAAGTATTAAAGGTATAACTCAGCAGGAGATGAACAATGGGGGGGGGCGGAATCAGAATGCCAAAACAGAGAAGTGGAACACAGATGGAAAAATCTTTAACTTTGTGAAATCCATCATTTTATAAAAAGGATAATGCATCATAACTGAGGTTGGCTTAATATTAAAAAGAAACAATGTACCCAGGCGTGGAGGTGCATGCTTATAATACCAGCAGCTCAGGAGGTTGAGACAGGAGGATCCCAAGTTCAAAGACAGCCTCAGCAATGGTGAGGCACTAAGCAACTCAGTGAGACCCTGTCTCTACATAAAATACCCCAAAAATAGGGCTGGGGTTGTGGCTAAATGGTCAAGTGCCCCTGAGTTCAATCCCCGGTACCCCAAAAAGAAATAATTTGCAACACGAACAGAATAGAGAAAACATTACCCTCTGAATATGTGCAGAAAAGGCATTTGACAAAAATCAAGATAATAACTACCAGAAATCTAGATATAGAAGGAAATTTCCTCAAACTGATAAAGAACACCAGCAACAACAACAAAAAGTTAAATATAATACATACCAGTGAAAGACTGAATGTTTTCCCCCAAGACTGGAAAAAAAGCAGGAATATCTTCTTTCATCACTTTCATTCAATATTGCACCAGTGGTCATTCTCTTTGCTATAAGGTGAGAGAACAAAATCAAGGGCATAGAGATTGGCAGAGAAAGAAATAACACTGCATTTGTAGATGAGATCATATATGTAAAAGATTCCAAAGACATCTACAAAAAAAATTACTAGAACTAAAAAGTGAATTCACTGAGGCACATAGGATACAAGATAAATATGTACAAGTCAAATAAATTTTTAAATATTAATAACAATCCAAAAATTAAATTAAAAATATACCATTTATAATACCAACAAAATTATAAGTTATGTAGAGACAAATTTAAATATATGCAATATATATATACTAACAAGCCTAAAACATTACTAGTAGAAATTTAAAGATCTAAATAAGGTTTATAAGTTATAAAATTCAATATTATCATGATGCCAGTTCTCCATAAATTGATCTACAGGTTCAACACAATTCCAACCAAAATCTCAGTAGATTGTTTTGTTGAAACTGAATACATCAACTGAATGACTCAAGGCTACTTGGAATTTTACACAATCCATTCTAGATCTCTTTGAAACCAGTTTCCTAGCATCAATAATGTTTGAAACAAGTGAATGACTATTCACTGAAGGAAAAATTTATATTTTAATCTGTCAATCAGGCATTCAAATCAGAGTATTGCATTATTTGATGTACTTTTGTCATATAATTAATCACATTTTTTTTTTTGCTCAGAGACCAGAGCTCATGACTGAATGATGTTTCTTACTGTAACCAGACAGAAAATAGATTTACCTTTTATTAAAGAAAGGAAAAGAGAGAGAAGTGATGGTATAAAGAAATGGTAATGTGCACTAAAAAATGAAATAGAATTCAGAATGTTTGGTTACAGAATCAAAATTAAATATTAAAAATCATTATGTTACATACATTTTACCACAATAAAAAGAAATTAAAAATTTTACTTAAAAATTTTCATCAATTCATGTTCAAAACACTAGAAAAACTAGGGGTAATAGGATCATCCCTCAACATTGCAAAAGCTATATACATTAAATCCAAGGCCAACATCATTCTAAATGGAGAAAGACTGACAGCATTCCCTCTAAAAACTGGAACAAGACAGGGATACTCTCTTTCACCATTTCTGTTCAACACAGTCCTTGAAACTCTAGCCAGAGAAATTAGACAAAAGAAAGAAATTAAGGGGATCCAAATAGGAAGAGCTCAAACTATACCTATATGCCAACAACATGATCTTATATTTAGAAGACCAAAAAAACTCCACCAGAAAACTTCTAGAACTTATAAACAAATTCAACAAAGTAGCAGGATATAAAATTAACACCCACAAATCAATTGCATTCCTATACACCAATGATGAATCAGTAGAAAGAGAAACTATCCCATTCATAATAGTCTCAAAAAAATATTTGGGAATCAATCTAACAAAAGAGGTGAAAGACCTCTACAATGAAAACTACAAAACACTAAAGATAAAAGACCTGCCAGGTGGGGTGACACCTGCCTGCAATCTCAGGGGCTCAGGAGCCTGAGGCAGGAGGGTTGCAAGTTCAAAGCCAGCCTCAACAAAAGGGAGGCACTAAGCAATTCAGTGAGACCTTGTCTCTAAATAAAATACAAAATAGGGCTGGGGATGTGGCTCTGTGGTCAAGTGCCTCTGAGTTCAATCCCCGGTACCCGCTCCCCCCCCCCCAAAAAAAAAGAAATTGAAGAAGACCTTGGAAGATGGAAAGATCTCTATTCTCTTAAATAAGCAGAAATAGCCATACTACCAAAATAGCCATACTACCAAAAGCGCTATACAGATTTAATACAATTTCTATGAAAATCCCAATGACATTTTTCATAGAAATAGAAAAAGTAGTTATGAAATTCATTTGGAAAAGTAGAGGCCCAGAATAGCCAAAGCAATCGTTAGTAAGAAAAGTGAAGCAAGAGGCATCACAATACCAGACCTTAAATTATACTACAGAGCAATAGTAACAAAAATAGTATGTTATTGGTACCAAACCATATGTGAAGAGAAATGGAACAGAATAGAAGACACAAACTATTTTAGTTACCTGCTGTGACTAAAAGATCTGACAAGAACAATTGTAGAGGAGGAAAGTTTATTTGGGGGCTCATAGTTTCAGAGGTCTCAGTACATAAACAGTTCCATTCCTTGGGACTGGAGGTGAGGCAGAATATCATGGCAGAAGAGTGTGTGGAGAGAAGCAGCTCACATACTGATCAGAGCAGAGAGAGAGATTACACTCACCAGATACGAAATATATACCCCAAAGGCAAGCTCCCAATGACCCACCTCCTCCAGGCACACTCTACCCATCTTCAGTCACCACCCAGTTAATCCCATCAGGGGATTAATTCACTGATCGGTTTAAGTCTTACAGAACCCAGTCATTTCTTCTTTAAACCTTCTTGCATTGTATCACATATGAGCTTTGGGGGATACCTCAGATCCAAATCATAACACAAATCCATATAAATACAATTATCTCATACTAGACAAAGGTACAAAGGTGCCAAGAACACACACTGGAGAAAAGATAGCCTCTTCAACAAACGGCACTGGGAAAACTGGAAATTCATATGTAGTAGGATGAAATTTAACCCCTCTCACCCTGCACAAAACTCAAAGTGGATCAAAGACCTAGGCATTAGAGCAGAAACCCTGCATCTAATACAAGAAAATGTAAGCCCAACACTCCAACATATTGGCTCAGGAACCAACTTCCTCAACAAGGCTACTAAAGTACAAGAAGTAAAATCAAGAATTGGTAAATGGGATAGTATCAAACTAAAAAGTTTCTTCACAGCAAAGGAAACAAGGGCATGAAGAGAGAGCCCACAGAATGGTAGAAATCTTTGCCATCTGCACTTTAGATAAAGCATTAATTTACAGGATATACAAAGAACTAAAAAAATTAACAACAAAAACAAAAAAAATAACCTGGCAAAGGAACTGAACAAACAACTTCATAGAAGAAGAAATATGAATGGTCAACAAATATATTAAAAAATATTCAACCTCTCTAACAATTAGGAAAATGCAAATGAACATTGCACTTAGGGGGTTCGGGATATAGCTCAGTTGGTAGAGCAACTGCCTCACATGCACAAGGCCCTGAGTTCAATCCCCAGCACCACAAAAAAACAAACAAACAAACAAACAAAAAAACCTGCACTGAGATTTCATCTCACTCCAGACAGGATGGCAATTATCAAGAATACAAGCAACAATAAATGTTGGCAAGGATATTGGGGAAAAGGTACACTTATACATTGCTGGTAGGACTGCAAAATAGTGAAAGCACTATGGAGATTCCTCAAAAAACTAGGAATGGGGGGCTGGGGCTGTGTCTCAGCAGCAGATCACTCACCTTGCATGTGTGAGGCCCTGGGTTCAATCCTCAGCACCACATAAAAATAAGTAAAAAAATAAAGGTATTGTATCCAACTACAACTAAAAATAAATATTAAAAAAAAAAACAACTAGGAATGGAATTACCATTTGACCTGGTTATCCCACTCCTTGGTACATATCCAAAGGATTTAAAATCAGCATACTACATTGATACAGCCACATCAATGCTTATAGTAGCTCAATTCACAATAGCTAAGCTATGGAACCAACTTACATGCCCTTCAACAAATGAATGGATAAAGAAAATGTGGTATATATGTACAATGAAATATTACTCAGCCATAAAAATTAATGACTTTATGACATTTGCTAGTAATGTCATAAAGTCTGGAGACTATCATGCTAAGTGAAATAAGCCAATCCCAAAAAACCAAAGATCAAATGTTCTCTTCAATATGTTGATACTAACATAACAATGGGGGAGGGGTAAAACAAAAGTTCAGTGGATTACACAAAAGAGAATGGAAGGAAAGGAGGAGAAGACAGAAATAGCAAAGACAGTGGAATGAATCTAACATGACTTTCCTATGTACATATATGAATACATCATAGTGAATCTCCACATCATGTACCTCCATAAGGCTGGGATCCTAATTAGAATAAGACAAACTTCATGTTTGTATAAATATGCCAAAATATACTCTACTGTCATGTACAACTAAAAGAACAAGTTAAAAAATAAAAATTCTTTAACTATAAATATAAATAAAATTATAACACCTCCTTTCCAAAAATTATTATAAAATGTAATATAAAACATATCAATTATTTGTATCTAAAACTCAGTAACATATAAAAACAAAAACAGGAATGAGGCAAGAAAGAGGAATAAAATTGTACCAAATTTCTTGATTTATAGAAAAGACTTCAATATCTAATTTTTCCCTTTGTCTCTGAAGATTATGGAAATAGGGGTTAAATGTTGTTTCTAGAAAGCTTAAAGGTAATCATTAACATGGTGTGGTGACACACACCTGTAACTCCAGCCATTCAGGAGCCTGAAGCAGGAGGATCCCAAGTTCAAGGCCAGTCTTGGCAACTTAACAAGACACTGCCTCAAAATAAAAAGGTCTAGGGATAGAGGTCAGTGATAGAGCAGTCCTGGGTTCCATCCCCAGTACCAGAAAAATGAAATAAAACAGGATATATGCTTTTTTGATCAAAACACACATGGTATGCATGCACAGAACTATTTATGAAAGTACAAAAAAATAAAATAAAAAGGAAGGGGGAAAAGATGACTGGAACAAGACAAGACATGCCAATTATAATTGTAATAAAGATTAAAATACATTAAAAGACAACTCCTTGCTTAATTAACAACAATGTCATATCAAAAAGGCCAGCTGAGTGTCTATCTGCCAGATTCAAATAATACAAAAGCAGATTACAAAAGTAATAGCAAACCGATTAGAATTTCAGACACATTTTAAATGGGCAGAGCAACAGAGCAGATAAGAATACAATTCAAAATGAATTAGTCTCATGAACCTGTACTTTCTGAATAGAATTGCACCAAAACATATATAAAAGTTATATATTTGTATCTAGCATTTGCAAGAATAAATTAACCAAATTTCCCTATGAGCAGGTGCAATAGGAG